GTCGTGGGTCCGTCTGTTCTGTGAAGACATGAGTACAATTTGAATGAGAGAATGACACAAACATCGCTTTTTATCAAGAAACACAATTTTTTTATTGGTTGGTTTTTTACAAGAACTAATCACCGTCGTCCATATTTACATGACTTAACGCGCTATGAAAATTAAATCCTAAATAGACTTTCCTTTTATTGTTACGATCGTCGACACCGTATATGATCATATGATGAGGGGTTGGTCCATACAACAATTTACAAACATTTAGGTTACATTTTATATATCGTATTTCTATGTGACCGCGACCCCACTCTCTTTTCAGTTGAGCGTAATCTAAAATGTTTCCGTGAAGTTCATTCAATAGTTTGTTGTTTCTGCGATCGAGTATGTGCTGCCAGGTTGCCAAGGAAAGCACGTAACACTGTATTTCTGTAGGTAGCTTATCCCAGTGACTCTGTAAGAGAGTTGTTACGATTTTGTTTTAACCATCTATTATGAGCGTGTTTAGTAGCGTATTCACTGACGGGGTAGATGAAAGTCTTTTCTACGGAGGCGCGTTTCTTAGCGTGTTTGTAAGAGTCGGCTAAATACGTTTTTTGAGGTTTATCATCAATGTCGATGTAACATCCGTATATTTTAAAATATTCGAATTTTCTCGGCAGCATGACAAACGACATGGATGTATAACAATCTTAATGTGTCCTATGCCCCATTCTTCTTTCAGTTTTGCGTAGTCTAATATTTCTTTGTGAAGACGCTGTAACTGTCTGTTTCTTCTGCGCTCGAGTAGAATTTGCCTCGTAGCCAAGGAAATCACCTAACATTGCATTTCTGTAGGTAGTCGATCCCAGTAACTCTAAAAGAGTGAAAGTCTCTTAACGTCTGCTATTCTGTAATAGGCATGATTAAACCCGTACCCTAAAAATATTTCTCTCTTAATGTTTTGTCCGTCTCTATAGAGTGCCGAAACGACCATATGCTTATTTTCGAGCCCTGGAACTCTTCCTTTGGGGCAATGCTTCATCAAACATGTCTCTATCTTGACTTTGATGGGACCTAGTCCCCATTTTGCTTGGACCTTTCCGAAGGACTGTATCTCGTTACAAAGTTCTCTCCAAGATTCACGTTCACGTCTGTCGATGAGAGACTGGGACTCGTTGAGGTGAACAATGTAGGTCTGGATTTCAGGAGGCAGCCAATCCCAGCGGCTCTAGGATGAAATGAATTGTAATCATGGAAATAAAAATCTGAGGTATCGAGCTCACGAAACGTGACCGGTTTCGGTCTGGCCAACCATTCGGAAATTCTCATTTGTCTTTCAAATTCCCTTTTCTCCTCGAAGGCAAGTTGTGACTCAGCGAGTGAGATAATGTAAACTTGGATTTCGGGTGGCCACCAGTCTCAGTAACTTATGAAAAGAAGGTGATGAACAAGGCGTGACAAAGATGTCTTCCGAATTTGTAACCGCAAAATGCAATGACACAAAATCTCAAGTCCAAACGAAGGTAAATCTCTATGGGAGGAGTGATCACACTCAGTTCCACGGCCAGTCCAAGATGTACACGAGCGCACTTAGCGCACACAACGAGTGACAGATCTGGCAGTACAACTTCTCTTTGATCACACCCTTGTTCAACTGATTATCGAGTGCCTGAGTGTAGCAATCGTAATGAACGTAGTAACGACAACACTTGGTACGAGCGCAGGTTTCAGTTCTAAGGATGACTTGCTCGCATAGGGTACACTCTATATTATCCATTTTCAGATACTCACTGCTTCTTCATGTAGGTCTATCTGTTGATTTATCTCCTCGTCGGTGCTCTCAGCCATGATCGACGCTCGATACAAGTGAAGACACTCAGAGTGTCGTGAACGGTTCGGTCCGCTTCTTTTATACGCACGGCGAAACTGGATCCCAGGTTGCACTCGTCCTGGGGTCCAATCTCCGACCGTGGGGCATGGTAGGGGATACCCCCTATCCCCTGGGTCTACTATGCACACGTGACATTTGCCTTTGTCATTTGATTGGTGGGTGATTGACATAAAGCGAGGTGAACGCATTCGGTGTTTTTTCATTTTTGGTCATGTCGACTGAACCTAGACGCAGCCGCCGTCGCCTTCGAGGTCTGTCACCCGAAGAAGAACCGAGACGACGACGTCGTCGTGTGCGATCACCCGAAGAAGAACCGGGACGTAGTCGTCGCCTTCGGGGTCAGATACCCGAAGAAACGCCTATTCAACAAGTTTGTTTCATTTGTCAGAGAGATATCGACATCAATTCCTTGACGATATGTCAACGCACTCCATGCTGCGGCGTGTTCATGCATCAACGTTGCTACCAGGAGATGGAAAGACAAGTGCGAACCTGCGGCAACTGCCGACGCGTGATCAATGATGAGC